GTCGGGGCCAATTCCAGGTGTTGTAGCTGGTAATGCAAGTCGATGGCTTGTTCAGTTTCCATACCCCGGTTCATGTGGCCGTTCGCCGAACCGTCTTTGGCGCCGACATGTAACCGTGGGTGCAGCGGATGCGATTCCCGTCAGCGTAATCGATTAATCGCTCATGTGCGGATCGAACGGGTCATTCGAATTCGTGTCCACACTCTGCAAAACAGCGGAGCAAACTGTAAGCACGATTACTAAAGAAGGGCCAACCTCCCCCCCCGCCCCCCCCCCACCCCCCCCTCCCCCCAAATAGAGAATAGAGACACCCTTCCCCCTTTTGTTTTTTGTACTTTTGTAGTTGGACGTTGAAGTCCGCAGCAGCTGTCAAAGTCAAACCTCTTGACCTTTTTAAAGGCCTCCGCAAATGGAACTCAGCTGCCACAAAGGGCCTTGGCCCTCCTACCCATCGCTCCCGTAGGTAGCTGAAGAGGGTAGGTAACGCAACCGTATTGGCGGTTGTTTAGCGTCGAGAGGCAAGTCCCTCAAGGCGCGTGTCAGCCGACACTTGAGTGTCGAATGAGACCCTCGACAACGCCGAGGGCCAGGCGAGTATGGACAGCATATAACATGCCATCGCTTCGATAGTTTGCGAACACATGCATGGCCATTGTTTATGAGGAAGCCTGTAATGCGGCCCACATTAATAGATGTCTACATCACGCTGCCTGCATGTGGTCGGTGATATTTGGTTATGGGCCGAACACTCCAACGGCCAGGCGCGAATCTATGTTTTTAATTTGTCGACACATTTCTGTTTGTATGTTGCGCCCAGTAGGACGTGTCCTATCTGGAGTTAGACGTGCACAATGGACGGTCGAACAGTCGCGGACCACAGAAGTCCGTCGGGATCTGAACTTCGCAGAAATGGAATCGACGGTTAACCGGTTATCAACGGTTCGCCGTGAACTCACTGTCGGGCAATCGTCACAACGAATGCAAGGCCATGACAGGCAGCAGACAAAAGAAAACATGGCTCAATGATCCTCAGCTGACCCCTGCAAACCCCGATTAAGTGCACGTCGATTCCAAGGTTGTGCGCTGGGAGTCAAACCCTTTGCAGCCCGCGCGGCTTCGATACCGAAGTGTCTTCGTAATGTCGACACCCGATTGCCCGAACCGCAAAGCACGTCGTGGAAGAAGCATGATCTCGACTAGACCACGCTTATCGCGATGTTGGCTTTTATTGGAGGGCAACGAAGATCGACGGCACACAGGAAATGGACCCGGCCACTGACACCGTCGTCAACCCCAACAAACCCCTTTTAGGGCAATTCACAAGGTGAGCACTTTTGCTCACTACCAGGCCGCCGTCATGGAAGACGGACGGGGAAGTCGAAGCTGTTGAAAATAACGGTCAGATTTACGCGGAGCCTCAAAGTTCGCCGGGATCCGAAGTTGGCGGGTGCTTGAGTAGCCAGGAACATGTTTTCGCGCGGCCGGTGCCAGCGGAAGAGAGCGCCAGCGGGTGCACATAAGGAACGCTATGTCTAGGCGCACACAAGGAAGGCTCTGCCACTCTCAAGTTTTCGTTGTACGATAGCACGCGCAGAACAAAGGGTAATGATGGATGCACCACCACACAATTCGGCGCAGCGGACCCCAAACTGACCCCTAAAAACACCGATTCTCACCACCGTATAATCAGATGTACTAGCACAATAGGTTGGCGAACTCGGGCATGTACACTGCGCAGAGACGAATCAATTAGAATGGCTTTTATTGGAGGGCATCGAAGATCGACGACATACAGGAAATGGACCCGGCCACTTACACCGTCGTCAACCCCAATAAACCCCTTTTAGGGCAATTTCAAAGTCGAGCAGTTTTGCGCACTACCAGGTCGCCGGCATTGAAAACGGACGGGGAAGTCGAAGCTGTTGAAAATAACGGTCAGATTTACACGGAGCCTCAAAGTCCGCCGGGATCCGAACTTGGCAGATGCTGGAGTAGCTTGGTACCTGTTTTCGCGCGACCAGTGCCAATGAGAGGGAGCGTCAGCGAGTGCACATAAGGAACGCTATGTCTGGGCGCACACAAGGAAGGCTCTGTTGCTCTCAAGTTTTTATTGTACGACAGCACGCGCAGAACAAAGGGTAATGGTGGATGCACCACCACACAATTCGGTGCACCACGACCCCAAACTGACCCCTATAAACACCGATTTTCACCACCGTCTAATCAGATGTACTAGCACAAGAGGTTGTCGAACTCGGACATGTACACTGTGCGGACACGAAAAATTTAGAATTGCTTTTATTGGAGGGCAACGAAGATCGACGGCACAGAGGAAATGGACCCGGCCACTGCCACCGTCGTCAACCTCAATAAACCCCTTTTATGGCAATTTCTAAGGCGAGCAGTTTTGCGCTTATCAAGCTGCCGGCATTGAAGACGGACGGGGAAGTCGAACCTGTTGAAAATAACGGTCAGATTTACGCGGAGCCTCAAAGTCCACCAGGATTCGAACATTGCGGATGATGGAGTAGCCTGGTACATGTTTTCGCGCGGCCAGTGCCAGTGGAAGGGAGCGCAAGCGGGTGCACATAAGGAACGCTATGTTTGGGCGCACAGAAGGAAGGCTCTACCGCTCTCAAGTTTTCATTGTACGATAGCACGCGCAAAACAAAGGGTAATGGTGGATGCACCACCACTCAATTCGGTGCAGCGCGACCCCAAACCGACCCCTATAAACACCGATAATCAACACAGTCTAATCAGATGTCTTAGCACAAGAGGTTGTCGAACTTGGACATGTACATAGCGCAAACACGAAAAATTTAGAATGGCTTTTATTGGAGGGCAACGATGATCGACGACACACAGGAAATAGACCCGGCAACCGACACTGTCGTCAACCTTTATAAACCCCTTTCAGGGTCATTCACAAGGCGAGCACTTTGGTGCACTACCAGGCCGCCGACAATGAACACGGACGGGGAAGTCGAAGCTGTTGAAAACAACGGTCAGATTTACACGGAGCCGCAAAGTTCGCCGGGATCCGAATTTGGCGGGTGTTGGAGTAGCCAGGAGCCTGTTTTCGCGTGGCCGGTGCCAGCGGAACGGAGAGCCAGCGGGTGCACACGAGGAACGCTATGTCTGGGCGCACAGACGGAAGGCTCTACCGCTCTCAAGTTTTCGTTGTACGATAGCACGCGCAGAACAAAGGGTAATGGTGCATGCACCACCACACAATTCGGCGCAGCGCGACCCCAAACTGACCCCTACAAACACCGATTCTAAGTGCAGATTTCTGTGTCATGAAATTTGTTTGAACCAGCGCGGGAATACGGCCGCTTGCAAGTCCGGAATTCGACGAACGTCGAGGTCGGCGTAACGCGAGCAATTTTGCGCACCCAGAGGCCTCTGGTAATCTGATGACAAGCGATAGTCGAGGCCGTCGCAACGGGTGGTTGAATTTTGTCGCAGGACCTCAAAGTCCGCCGGGATCCGAACTTGGCGTTTGCTGGACTGGCGAGGAACCGGTTTGTGCGGGGGATGTGGGGTATCTCGAGGATGGGTGTTGAAGTGCACACATGAGCTTGGTGGAAATGGCCGTCGGAAATGGCCGGCTAGATTCTAGTCGAACCACGAAGTCCGCGGAGATCCGAACTTGGGGGCCGACAGAGAGGAACGGGTTTCTTCGCGGCAAGTCGCATATTGGACGGGCTAATTAGAGGGAAACGCGACGATCCGCATATGAGCTTCAATGGACAGAACCAAAACTCGTCGTTAAGCACTCAATTAGTCCCGCAGACAAGGCGAGTTCGCACTCGGGCAATGGAAGGTTCCACAGGCAGGTTCATGGTGGTGAATGAAATTCCACAAGATCCGAACTTGCCCTCGGTTCCACTGAGGGACCACGAACGGGTGCCTACAACGAAGTCCGCCCGGATCCGAACTTGACATCTGTTGCTGCGTGTCAAATGAAAATCCATAAACAATTGATTGTTATACAGACAGAAACAAAACAATTACGTGAAAAGTTGCATTATATGAAACTCCATGAGTTATTTGGCCTTCAATTGAAGGTAATTTTGTCTTATGAAACCCGTTTGGAAAAGCAAAGCAAAAAAACACAAAAATGATTCGGGAGCGAAGCTGTATGAAAAACAGTTGCTGGAAAGGAAAACCACTCAAACAATTAACTTTTAGTTTCAAAAAGGCGTCTGCTGTTCGAAATTCCACAGGTCGTATCACCCTTTTCCATAGAGGCTCCCACGCAAAACGATTGCAGCGAAGAATTGACTTTCAACGTAAGTAGAAAGAATCGAATATGATCCAAATCGTTCCTCTTATTATTCTCTAGACTTCTTATCAATATGAGGTGATCGTAACCGGGAGCATGACACACTTGGTTTTTGCTGGGGTCCCTGTGACAGGACTGTTTTTTTGGCGGGAACGCCACCCAAAGAACAATCATGTACCAAGGACTCTGTAAAGATCCTTGTAAACCGTAAGCGTGTGATTTCAGCGATGCGGTCGAAACTATAATGACCATGCGAGCAGCTCACGACTTCACATGCTTCAGATCGCAAGTCCGCCGGGATCCGAACTTCGTGTTGTCGCCCTCGCATGGTGACAACTGGCAGGCCGTTCTGAACTATCGACCCCACGCCCTAAAGCTGGAAAATTTCTCGCAAAAGATAGTCATCAGGGAACCCGGGAACGACATTGTGACTGCGAACGTGAAACCAACAACCTCCAAAAATAGTCGTTGATTCGCGTGTGAAAACCTGGCGAAAATGGAACTTCAGGTGTTGGCGAACTACAACAATCATGCGCTGTTTTCTTAGAGGCGCTTGCTCTCCCAACAGCCGCGCGACGGCAACACAATGCCACTTCCGCGAGAGCACTGCGCATGATTGCTGTAGTCCGCCGGCATCCGAACTTCCCATCTCGCTAGGCAACGACACGCGACTCGCCTTTTATGTTTGGCGGTTGTCGGTTTCGCGCCCGCAGACACAATGGCAACCCCCCGTTCCCCGATGAGTAAGACGTGTCCCGTAGGCGGCCGGGTTGTTCGTTATTGAACAAGGTCGTTTTTACGTGTTGAGATTCTCGTCACAAAACATGCGGCGCTCACGCCGAAGAAACGGCATTGTCATTGCAGCGAGCGGTGTTGTCGTTCTCCATCGCGCGCGCGCAACGTGCACATTCTTCATCGACGAGGCCGCGGATGTTGCGCGCACAGCACTGGCGTCTGTCGTGCACAATGTGCTGTCGTGTCCTAATGACCTGCGCCAGGCACGCGCGCTCAACATCCATGGCCTCAATGGTGGATCATGTGCACGTTGTGCGCGCGGGGTGGAGACGACACCAGCTTGCCCGGGATTGACGCCATAGTCTCTTCGGGGAGGGAGGCACAAGTGTTGTGACGAAAGCATGACAACGGAACGACGACCCCCTCCTGTTGATGAACACCATCCCTCTTACTGCACGCCACGTGGACGGTGGACATCCTTCGCACGGTGGCCACCGCTCGATGCGTAATACCAACCCTGGTCGCGTGCAGCCCATGTGGCGCCCGCTAGTTGTTAAGTACTCCCGCAACGACCACTGTCTATCCTGCAAGGGATTCAAACCATCAGCCGTGGATTTGCAGTCCGATGCATCTCTTTTGTGTAAAAAAACCATTGAACTGTTTGATGAGAAAAGCAAACTTGCGAGGAACGTTTGTCGATGGGATCTCGTGTTTTGCTGGAAAAAGGCGATTTCGTGTTTGCCTCGACCATGCGGGAGTGTTTTGCAATGTTTGAACTTGGCAACCACGTGGGAGTGTTTTGCAATGTTCAGTTGGATCGTCTCCAATGCCGAGCGAAGCAGGAATCATGGGGCCTGTCGCGAGGAACGAAGGAGTGAGAAGAGAAGGAAATACAGAAACCGTCTGGCCCATCGCCAACCCAAGCAGGAATCATGGGGGCGATCGCATGGAACGAGCGATAGGGAAGGAGAAGGAAACACAGTAACCGTGTGCACCGATGTCTTCGTCATCGGTTCCATCCGTTCCCGCCACCTGAGACATGTGCCACGACATGATGATCATCGGGGTGTTGATGAAGATGATGATGATGCCGATTGCAATGCAGATGATGATGATGATGATGCTGACTTGGACGGTGGTGATGTTGATGACTATGCCGATGTCGATGATGATGATGACGATGATGTTGATGATGTTGTTGATGATGACGAGGATGATGATGATCATGATGATGATGATGGTGTTGATGATGATGACAACGATGATGATGATGATGATGATGACGATGGCGTTGACAATGAGGATGATGACGAAGATGATGATGCTGATGACGACGAAGATGATGATGATGATGATGATGATGATGATGATGATGATGATGATGATGGTGGTGAGCAAGAGTCATGGGGCCGCTCGCGAGGAACGAACGAGTGGGAAGCAAAAGGGCATACAGAAACCATGTGCCCCAATTTCATCGACATTCGTTCCCGCCGTCCCCGCAACTTGCTACACGTGGCGCGATGTGGCTGCTCCCATGCGCCGACAAACAGGTGCGACGACTGACACGCGGGCAGGCAGAAAACCACTTTACCTTGACGAGGGCACAACGAACACGATGGCACAGCTCTCTGACGGGGCACAATGCTTAGACGACGCGCAGTTCTTCGACGATGGCGAAGCGCGCACGACGGCGCGACTATTCGACAAGGGCTGAGCACAAACCACGGCGGCCGCTTGCTAACGCAGAACACAAAGACGGAATGTCGAAGCGCCGACAACAGGACCCCGGCAGCGGGCAGAAGGTCGGGAAAGAGTTGGCGACGAGAGGGACGCCTGCAGACATGTGGCGCAACAGCGGGATCCGAACATGGTGGATGTTGGAGTAGCCTGGTACCTGTTTTTGCGCGGCCGGTGCCAGTGGAAGGGAGCGCAGGCGGGTGCACATAAGGAACGCTATGTCTGGGCGCACAGAAGGAAGGCTTTGCCGCTCTCAAGTTTTCGTTGTACAATAGCAGGCGCAGAACAAAGGGTAATGGTGGATGCACCACCACTCAATTCGGCAGTGTGACCCCAAACTGACCCCTATAAACACCGATAATCAACATAGTCTAACAAGATGTCCTAGCACAAGACGTTGTCGAACTTGGACATGTACACAGCGCAAACACAGTGTAATTAGAATGGCTTTTATTGGAGGGCAACGATGATCGACGACACACAGGAAATAGACCCGGCAACCGACACCGTCGTCAACCCCAATAAACCCCATTCACGGTCATTCTCAAGGCGAGCATTTTTGCGCACTACCAGGCCCCCGATACAATGAACACGGACGGGGAAGTTGAAGTTGTTGAAAACAACGGTCAGATTTACGCGGACCCGCAAAGTTCGCTGGGATCCGAATTTGGCGTGTGCTGGAGTAGCCAAGAACCTGTTTTCGCGCGGCCGGTGCCAGCCGAACGGAGAGTCAGCGGGTGCACACGAGGAACGCTATGTCTGGGCGCACAGAAGGAAGGCTCTGCCGCTCTCAAGTTTTAGTTGTACGATAGCACGCGCAGAACAAAGGGTAATGGGGGATGCACCACCACACAATTCAGCGCAGCGCGACCCCAAACTGACCCCTATAAACACTGATTCTCAATGCGGATTTCTGTGTCATGAAATTTGTTTGAACCAGCGCGGGAATATGGCCGCTTGCAAGTCCGGAGTACGACGAACGCCGAGGTCTGGGTAACGCGAGCAATTTTGCGCACCCAGAGGCCTCTGGTAATCTGATGACACGCGATAGTCGAGGCCGTCGCAACGGGCGGTTGAATTTTGTCGTGGGACCTCAAATCCCGCCRGGATCCGAACTTGGCATTTGCTGGACTGGCAAGGAACCGGTTTGTGCGGGGGATGTCGGGTATCTCGAGGATGGGTGTTGAAGTGCACACATGAGCTTGGTGGAAATGGCCGTCGGAAATGGCCGGTTAGATTTTAGTCGAACCACGAAGTCCGCGGAGATCCGAACTTGGCGGCCGCCGGAATAGAGAGGAACGGGTTTCTTCGCGGCAAGTCGCATATTGGACGGGCTGATTAGAGGGAAACGCGACGATCCACATATGAGCTTCAGTGGACAGAACCAAAACCCGTCGTTAAGCACTCAATTAGTCTCGCAGACAAGGCAACTCGCACTTGGGCAATGGAAGGTTCCACAGGCAGGTTCATGGTGGTCAATGGAATTCCACAAGATCCGAACTTGCCCTCGGTTCCACTGAGGGACCACGAACGGGTGCCTACAACGAAGTCTGCCTGGATCCGAACTTGACATCTGTTGCTGCGTGTCAACCGGGAGCATGACACACTTGGTTTTTGYTRGGGTCCCAGTGACAGGACTGTTTTTTTGGCGGGAAAGTCACCCAAAGAAGAGTCATGTACCAAGGATTCCGTAAAGATCCTTGTAAACCGTAAGCGTGTGATTTCAGGCCGTGGGCGGTGAGGGAGCGCAGGGGACTCCCCAAAAAAGGAGGGGAGATTGTCAAGAGGACTTGGTAGGCTCTTCGAAGAAACAGAAGACCAGGACCCCGAAGACTACAGGAGAGAAACGGAAGTGAAGGGGTGTGGAAGAGGACCACCTGGGTGGCAAATGTCCGGCTTCAAAACAGAAACAGCCTGCGCAGAACCTTCAACGACAAGCCCGGCCATCGACGTGGACGCCGGGTACTTCCTGGAGTACAAAGACCGCGTCAGGACAAGGCGGGAGTTTGAGATTAGCCCGGCTAAGATCGTCAACCTCGGGGAGTGGGAGGATGTTTACAACCAGCGGTCGCTGGATCCTGTGCTCATGGGAACGATAAAAGATGCAATGCAGTATGCGTTCGAAAATAAAGAGCAGACGTACGAGTTGCCGATCTTCAAGCTCGCACCACTGGGTTTCAAAAACCAACTCCCAGAACCAAGGCTCAACGGCTGAAGCCAGAGGAGTGGAAGGACAAGCTGGCGAGAGAATACTACTACTACGTGGTGTGCGGGCAGCATAACGCGGCTGCAGCCCGATCGCTGCTCGGGAGCGAGGTGGCCAAGAAGTACAATTTCGAGCGGTGGCCGGCGCGAATGCTTTACTTTTCGGATGACGACTTTGAAGGGTATTTTCTTGTTGGTTCACAGGACAACAAGAAGGACCTGAAGGCGCCTCCCTGACAATTGAAGCTGTCTATGAAAGACAATCGGTGGCAGTGGAAGCATGACGGCTGCCCGAGAGCTGTGATGGGGAACCCTAGCGGGAAACAAGATTAGGTCCGGACTTGGCGTAAGTTTTGTACAACGGCGCTCCATAAGGCGCCTCACAACAGTTTGTGGATTCTCGCGGATCAAAAGGAAGAGGAGGCCCTTAAGAACCAAAATGTTGCCCTGCGTTCTTATTCCCCTCTCGCGATGGCCGGAGAAAATGTCTTGGAACTGGCCGTGTAATTTTTCGAAAAATGGGAGACGGGTAGATTGCTGAGCCACGACGGAGCGAAGTGGATCGTGAAAAAGAAGAAGGTCAAAAACGTTAAGCCTGGGGTCGCCTACATCCACAACGACAAGTTGGGCAGAACTGAGGTGCTGTACAACGTCCCCGTGGACCCACCGAATAAGAAAGGCAAAAAGGAGAAAGAGGAGGGCGATTGGTTCGTGCAAGTGCCTGACCCGGATGCGCATTGTTGGAAAGCAATGGAATCACTCACGGACAATGAAAAGTGTCGCATTCTTAAGAAGGTGCTTACTTGCGAGGTCGTTTGGGTCCAGGCCGGCTCCCCATCGTTGGCGAAGTTGGGGAAGCTGAGCGTGAAGGACATGGTGCAACTGGTTAAGTGTGACCGCGTGCTGATCCGGTTGTGGAATTACTACCAATTCAAGCACGAGAAGAGGTCGGACGCGGATTGGATCCAAAGGTACCCTTTCCTGAAATCAAGGTCTGCAGTGTTCCGGAAGTTTGAAAGTCAGGGATTGGATGACGAGTTGTGGGATAACAGCGGGAAACACGTTTCRGACTCGGCGTTGTTCAAGGACTGTCCGCCGTACATGGGTTGCSACCTGGACAACTCGATTGAGGTGACGGAGAAGTTGGCGGGACACAAGAAGTTKTCCGTCGACTGGAGAAACAAGGTTCTYTCCGTATTGAATGGTAGCAGACTAAAGAGCCGGGAGGTCGCCCTTGTCGAAGACATTGTTCACATTAAATGGAAAGACACGGGGGACGTGACATCCATCRCGTCGTTCGCTAACGACCCTTTGGAGGTGGACATGAGGGGCGCAGAGTTGAAGGAAGCAGTGACTGCCACAAAGAGCCACACGTTCGTCCTCGATCTGTGCGAGCCGGTTGACCTCAAACTGTGGAAGGCCCAAGCGTGCGAGACTTTGGATTCCTATCTTCAGACGTGGTGTCCGTCACATTGGACTCTCGTTATTTTCGTGCCGCGGCAGCACAACCTCACGTTTCTCGCCAGCATCAACAAAAAAAAAATCCAAAATTAAATAATCATTCTATAGTAAAATTACATTCTAAATTTTAAATTTTCATTCCTTCTTAAAAAATGTCGTTCCAATTTTAAATTTTTTTGCCTTACTTGAAAACTTTCAATCCACGAATGGGCTATCCCTTCTTATTTGAACTACTTGCTAGAGGTGGAATGAAAGTCTGGATGAGTTTATGAAATATTTTAATTGGACTGTCACTCTATGTAAGGATTTTCAGTCATAAATAGGTTAAATCAATCTAAATTATAAGGTATTTGTAATAATAAAATGAAAGTTTAATTAAGGCATTCTATAAACTCATCTAGACTTATTCCATCTTGAACAATAGATGTAGTTGGAAGGGAAAGCTCATATTTAGACGGGAACTTATCAAATAAAACTAAAAAATTTAGAATTGGGCGAACATTGGAATGATAATTTATAAATATGAAGGAACTTTTTTTAATGGAATGTTTTTTCAACTTCCATTTCTCATGGGAATTTTTCTGTTGATACACCATCTTTCTTTCGTCAATCTGTTGGAAGGGAAGTGGGTGAGAAGAGTTCAACAAAAGAAAAGCTTCCCTGTTGGGAACAATTTGTACACGGAGGAAGACCGCATGTACATCCTCTTCAAGGGTGACGATCTGCGTGCCAACACGTCCGTGGTCTACGAGGGAAACCTGCCCAGGGGTGCCACTGCTGCGGTGCGATTGCTTCAGAGGGTCACCCAGACGGATGTGTCCGAGATTCTCTTTCTGCCTTGGCAGCCTTGCGATTGGTCGTTGGTGGCGCCGGAACGACAGGGCAGTGTCTACGGGGATATGGAACGCAATCCGACACAATTCGTCGGTCTTCTTGATTTCCTTGCCAAGAAGGGAGAGGGTGTCGTGTTCCTTGGGAAACCGCACGCGCGAAGCGTCTGGGATCTTTTGAAGGCCGGCCGACACGTTGTCGCGATGGAAGGGAACGTCGAGCTCTTGCAATTCCCGATGCAGGTGGTGAAAAGCGAGGTCAATTCGGGCGGGCACAATGGTCGTGAAGCCAACACGGGATAAGGTGTGGAGCAACAAGACGGATATGTGGTTCAAGTTGAGCGAGAGGAAGATGAACAAGATATACGATTTCTTATTCCTTCAAACGCAGTCGAGGAAGGACTCTGACGTCGAGTACGTCCGCCGGAAGGACCACATGTTCGCACTGCTCGACAACTACCACTTCGCCTCCCGCATGAACGCGAAGACGTTTCTCGATAGGCTGCAGTCGCTGTACTTCGTGGAGTCCGAGGAGCAGTTGATGTTAGCCAGTTATGCTTTTCTGATCTCCACTGATGACGAGGAAGGCACAGGTGTGGAGTTTGTCGCCAACGAGAAGGAGGAGGAGAGCGACACAGAGAGCATTGACCTGCGGTACGACCCATCTCCGGCGGACCACGGCAGAGGGTCGTCGTCGGCCGGTCCGTCACCGAGCGCTGCAGCCCTCGTGTCACCGTCGGCCAAACCGTCGCCAGGCACCACGCCGATGAAGTTGCTGGAGAGACTCAGAGCTCTGGCCGTCCCCCCGCCCGCTTTGCGTCCCGGGTCCGACATCCCGCCCGATCATCCATCTTGGCAGGATGACCACATCCACTTCCTGCTAGAACCACAACGTCATTCGCCTGAGCTGGAATGGGGCCATGACATGGTGTGGCATCCCGGAGTCATCTTGAGAGTGGGTCATGGCCGTTCTAATCCCGGGCGCGGGATGGGCGTCATTCCCGAGCGAGTCGAAGTCCAACTTCCTGCACCTCGCGAGGATTCCGGTCCTCCAGAAAGTGACGGCCGAGAATGACACCATTGCACCCGGCGACCTGTTCCTCATTTCCACAACCGATCGACTGTTCGACGAGCTTTAGGAGAAGTGCTGGTTGGAATTGACGGAGGACCACTACGACCTCGACACGAGTCCGTCGAAGGGCATGGTGGACAGGAAAGTGCCCCCTTCCAGTGGCCCGGACGGTAGTTTCGGGGGGGGCGCACCTGGAAGTGGAGGGGATGGGGGTGGTGGCGCGGGGGGTGGCAAAGGAATCCCGCCTGGTGGGGAGAGGGGGTCTCACGACCGCAACACGACACCGGAGGCAGCCGCGGGGTGGCGGGTTTCGCCGTCGACCGGCCTCCGTCGACACAGTCCGCCGACCTCCCTACTTCGTCCGTGGGCTCAGCGAGGAACACGTTTGCAGCTTTGCTTGCTCTGGGCAGTTGCTCCGACGGAAAGTTGAAGTCTGTCGGGATCCGAACTACGTCCGCTGAGGAGCCGCCGGATCGGTCTGGAATGCAAAGCCGCTCGAGGTCGGGGGAGCCAAGCAAGGATCCCAAAATTGGCAGTGTTGCGGCGCGGGACGGAAACGTGGGAAAGGTGTCGCATGAGCAGGGGCGACAACCGCAAGGATTGCAGCATGAGGCTGCAGGTACAGGGTCCGGCGACACGAAGACTACGAAGTCCGCCGAGATCTGAACTTCTTCGGGCGGGGGGTGTCGGCCAGGGATTGTCGTGCCGTTGAGAGGGGCAGCGTGCACGGAGACGGAAGGGCGGTCCTCGGGACTCAACACGGATACCGCGGAAGGGGATGAGTTTCCTGGAAGGGAAGTAGGGGAGAAAATGGAGGAACGGAGGGGAGCGCAAGAAGGGGAGGAAGAAGGGGAGGAAGAAGGGGAAGAAGAGGAGGAAGGGGAGGAAGCGGGAAAAACGGAGGTACTTGAGTTGCTTGAAGGGAGGGTGCCGGATCTGGAGACGACGAGGTGGAGCACAGTGAGGACGATGCCAGATCTGGAGAGTCGTCTGACAAGTTCGGACAACTGTACGGAGAGCATCACGAGAATGATGTTGACGACGATGCCACGGCAATAGAGATGGAGACACAGGTCGTTAGCAGCCTTTCCGCACAGCGTGAAGATTATGCGGTCCGACCACTGACGTCTGCTGTCGACTTGCAACACAGCTTCGACGAGGCTTCCGTCGCTATCAGCCCGTCTAAAACAAATCGGCGTATAAGCATCGACGAAGTTATCGACGGTATCCTCGGCGACCACAACGTGTCTGCCCGTCCGTCCATAACGCCAGACGTTGACGAAACTCTCAACGTCACGTCTCCCGTTGCAGCTGCCCTCGCTTCGTTGCCGCTGAAGACCCTGGTCCTGCCGGCCACCCTTGCCGCCGGAGAGGAAGCCGAGGTCGGGGGACGACAACATGTCACGTCCCCAAAAAAATCGAGGGTCGGCGCTCAAGCTCTCGACGTGCTCGCTTTGCCCGCGCCAAATTCCCCATCGAAGGAGCGGAGAGATAAACAGACTGGTAAGCCGTGAAGAACGCCACACTGCCTACACGTCCGGATGTCGTCGGATTACAGTCTGCGCTGTACACACGACGACTGTCCACACTGTCTGTCGATACGGGAAGTTCTGGATGCCGCCATACTACAGCCACCAGCCCTTCCTAATACATCTCGTCGGCTTATCTGTCACTCGGTCGGGTTGCTGGTCGAGGGCGGCGAAAAGTTCGTCGACAAACTTGCACTCCATCCAAGGAAGGATCTGCCCCGGCTGAGGAAGTGGCCAAGGGGCTAAGAAAGTGGCCAAGTGGATGGACTGACGGTTTTCCCATTGGGAATAGTGTCGGTTGTAGTCCGAACTTCCTTTGTCGATGCGGATGTGGTCGGTCTCGGTGGGGCTGGTGTATTGAAAAGTACGCCGCAGTCCGAACTTCGGGAATTGCTGGCCTTTGGCTACTGTGAGTTGTGCTGGTTTTCCTTTGCGAAGTGCGGGGGTGTTAAGCTGGAATGTTACAGTCACAACGGCACCTGGGTGCACATGACAACGCGAAATCAGGGTCCTATGGTCAAGGAGGTCCTGCTAGACTGTTACGTCTGTGCGATTGTATGGTTCTCATTTTCCGTTCTGTCTTTGTTCTGTTGTACAAGGGTGGGGTCGTCTCAAACATGGAGGTCTTCCAAATATCCTGAGCACATATTGCAGAAAGTCTCCGGGTTGACTACAAAACACAAGGATATGTTAAAGGCATAAGGGCTTGATGTCGAGATCGGAAAGATGTAGAACGTTGCCATTAAGGAATGTTTTTCCCTTGTTGCCCCAGAGAAAGGGACATATCCACGATCTGTGAGTAGGGGTCAGGCCATGTATGAGAAGTACTTAGCAACGCGTCATGCTCCGGGGGACAATGCCTAGAACTCCGTTTCTCACTACCCCACGTGTCCTTTGCTCGATGTTGTGCAGTGCGGCCCGCAAGTGCAGCACGCGGGAAAAGTTTCGCTGCAGTGATTGAGCCTGTGAGCTTACGGTTTTTGGACGACATTTTACGAGGCTCGATGCCGTCTCACACTGTTCTCTCTATACTGGGCGATGGTCAATTTCGGATTGCAGCAAAAGATCTCCTCACCCTACTGAATGTCGACGGCAGGGTGAATGATGAGGTGGTCAATTTCTATATGGCGTTGTTGGGGTCAACCGCATGTGGGTCACGTGACATCCTGTCAGGCCTTCAAGTCTTCAGCTTTAATTCGTTCTTCTTCAGTAAACTGCGACTTCAAGGACACGGTGGGGTGCGGAGGTGGGCTAGAAACGTAGATTTGCTTCGTTACGATATTGTCTTCGTTCCTTACCAGAAAGATGATGATCACTGAATCCTCCTTTCCGTCAACATGAGAGATGATGTTCTCGAAATTTTTTACTATTTTCCTCGCGTTTTATCTGATTCTAGTTTTTACCTTTCTGTTTTCGGGTTGATTGTGCAGTATTTGGAACGTCAAACATCATATAGGTGGTCAGGTAGGAGTTGGAAGTCGGTAGTTGGAAATGTTGTGGTGGATGGAATTCCGAGACAAATGGATGGAGCAAGTTGTGGGATGTTCATGTTGATGTATGCGGCATTGTTGCAACGTGCAGATCGACCGCCTTTCCAATTCTCTTATAAAGATATTACGCTTCTTAGACGACAATTAGCATCATGTATCTTAGAACATCGTTGTCTTTGATGGATTTGATTGACTTGAAAACTCTTTTCTTAAGGTGTTTCATTCGTTGTTCAGTGAATTTTGTAAATCGAGACATTATCTTATAAAGATATCCCGCTTCTAAGACGACAATT